TCTGGTGTTGTGTGTAAGACCCCAACCACAAGGACACACAGTCCCAGTCCCTTCTGCTGAAGTCTTGTCAGCACACATGGATACATCTGTATTCACTGGGCTGGGGAGGCAGAGAAAATTGATCCTTGTTCGTGCTCTAACTGTCAGTTAGAAGTTCACTGAGGAGGGAGGAGCTTGAATTTCAGTTCCTTGTCCCACTAGTTTTTATGAAATTGATAAAATCTGCCTATAGAGGAAGGGCAGGGATGGGAAATGTTTATTGCCAAAACAATAATAAAATAAAACAGTCTTCAAAGGAACCACAAGTTTATGTTTAGCTCTTATCAAGAAGAGCCTAGCTTTAAAAGCTGAGGTCTGCTATCCTACAAGTGCTTGAACAGTGACTGAACAAATAAACTGGATGAAAAATCTGTGGAGTTCTCCCAAATATCCTGAGTGGGTACACATTTGGTCTTGTTCAGAATTTGTTCAAAAGTGCAAATGTGGGGAAGGGATGGATGGGAAAGCAGCACTCCCTGTGCTGCTCTTACATTTGTAGATGATGCTGAGCCCAGAGCTGGCAGGTCCAGCTGAGGGAAAGACCTTAAAGTCTTCATTTATAGCTCACCCAAATCATCAGCTCAACATGCAGCAGGATCAGTCAAGACCCAGGAAAATGCTGGGCACCATCAGGACGGAGTGATTTTGCTGAGATGTAAAGCCTTGCTGAGTTGATATCTTGAGCACTTTGTGCAGTCTGGTATCTGCATCTCAGGGAAGATATCGAGGTGTAAGAAGTACAGAGACAAAGACAGTTAGAGAGGATGAAACAACTGTTCCATGAGGAGGCTGGAAAAACTCTTCTATCTGGAGAGGAAGGCAAGGAATTTATGAAAATCATGAAGGCAATGAGTAAGATAAATGTAAATCTGCAAATCAAAACATTCTGCAATATTATAATGAAAATTAGTATACACAATTAAATTAGTACATCAGCTCAAAAGAGACAAAAGAGAATACTTTCTTACATGATGGGTCAGGAACCTCTGGAGTTTATTGTCACAGGATCTGATAGAGTCTGACAATTTCAATAAGCCCAAGAAAGTATTAAACAATGTCAGGAAAAGGAGTCTTGTAAATGGATGCTTCAGCCTGGGATGTGTCCATCAATATCCCTAATCCAATGAATGGTGGATGCTGGGGTCAAAAGAAATTGAATACAGCGGACTTGTTGTCCCTAAATAGCTTTGCCCATTTCTACTTTCAAAGATTGAGTACCAGGCTGGGTGAACTACTGGTGTGACCACTTCTTATATTCCTGCAGGTGATTACTCTTCCTGGAGACATTCAAAGCCCTCCTGGATGCAGTCCTCTGTAATGTGCTCTAGATGATCCCGCTTTAGTGGGAAGATTGGACTAGATGATCTCTGGAGGTCTTTTCCAACTCTGAGCATTCTGTGATTCCTGGGGAAGGTGCTGCCCATCTGGCCAGCAGCTGAACTGGGATGCCAGTCATTACTGCAGTAGTTTTGAGCAAAAGCCTGCACATTTGGAAGTACCACAGACAAAATGAAAACAGAACTGTTAATCACTCTGAAAACGAGGTAAACCCAATGCAGTGAGTGTGTGTTGCACAACAGCTGGCACACTCATGGTAACCTTGATATATGCCCAGGCTGCCTGAGGTTTTCAGGGCTGGTGGACTGTGGGCTCCCCTCTTTCCCGTCCTGATGCGCGGTACATCGGACAGGGCCATGGTCTTTCGGTTTGAAACAGAAACGCCACATCCTGCATATTCAGATATTGCTTTTTAAGGCAGAAATATGACAACCATCTTCTCGAGAGGGTATAATCTGGAAAGCCTGTCAGGGAATGTGAGGAATGCTAAGCCTCCCCGTACAGGAGTGACGCACTTCACTCGCCTTCAGCTTGGCACTTAGGTTATACTCAGTGTGTAGTGAAAAAGCAAACGGGATAGGGGATGACTGTATCACAACACAGCTCTTTGGTGCGTGCCTTGGGATAACGTTCTTTAGCATGTGCTGACCACCCTTTCTGACAGACAAAAAGGAGGTTGTGAGTATGCAAAGGATAAACTGAAATCTGCTTGGTGATTTTAGCCATAACGCTAATTCTGCTTACATAAGCTTAATACTTTCTGCAGTAATATAGTGCGACTAAGCAAAGAATTAAGTCTTTTCCAATTACAGCTGAATAAAAATCAATAGCACAAATATGTGAGCTATTGACTTACATGCATTTGAAAACATACTGTCTGCATTTTTACATCATTTATGTTTTACTGGGAGAAAGCAACTGCAGTTGGTTAACAGGTCTCACCCAGTACATGATATTACACATGCTTCAGGATACTGTGAATGCAATATCATTCCATTGCACCTCAGTTAAACACAAAGTAGCATGCTACTTATTGTGATGCTTTGGTATATAAACTATTTTCCTCAGATGATTGATGCTAGAAAGTTCCAGTATACTGAAACAAGCTAAAATTAGAAGGGCTTCAAGCTATGCTTCCTACAGATCCATATATTTCATAGGATGGTGGCTGTTTGCACTTTAAAATGATTGATTGATGTCTTTAACAGACTGCTGAAGTGTAAAAGAAGCAACTACAAGTACCATTGCAATGCAATTAAGTAGATAGGACTAGTCAATTACTTGTTTTCTAGGAAAATATATATTAGCAGCCTCATTCTGTTGCTAGTGATGAAGGATTTTGAATAACAGGTCCAGAAGGTAACCTAGGCCATAGTCGCTCTTGCATGAGAGTATTTCCAAGCCAACAAATTGTAATAGCAGGTTTTCTTCTAAGAAAACTCTAAGGAAAATTAATTAGAGAGAAATTAAGCTGTTCAGTAGTTTTGCCAGTATAGCACTAGCATCCAGTCTGTGTTTCTGGTCACCTTTCCAGCTACCACATCTGTTCACCTGCCTTCCATGTAATATGACTTTCCAATAGTCTTTTGTTTACTATGAGATTATTAGTGTTAAAGGAGATAAAACTATTTGTCTTCATCCTTTGGCAACTTCAGAAGGCTGGAAATACACTTGAAAAAACAACCGGGAAGTCCCCAGGCACCCTCTTAATTCTGCTGTCCTTGCCTTGGTGCAGCAGACGGGGACCCCTGGGGACAGTCAACTTTCTTGGTCAGCTGGAAGATACTCGGAGGAGGTACTACAGAGGAGCCCGAGGAAGCCTTCCTCCCATTGCAGACTATACATACTGGCATCTGGTAAGCGTGCTGCTGTCAGACTAAAAACTAAACTGTCGAGGCTGCAAACAGCTCTGGACAGCAACAGTCAGTAGTTTAAGCTGACTTGATGGTGGCCCAAGCTGGGCACTCAAGGCCCATTCTCCTCCTTGGACTGGGAGGACTTTACCTCTCTCTCTGCAATCACATGCTGCCTGTCCTGCAAAAGCAGCTTTGAAGGGGTGGTTGTGACAGGGTGGTAGTCCTGGTGAGCACAAGAGATGAATTCAGAATAGAAACAGGAACACAGAGGAGCCCGGAGTGCACAAATGTAGGGTTGAGGGTAGTTGTCAAAACCAGAGCATCGAAATCCCGTGTGACTGCCCATGTGGAGCTATGGCTGGGAGCTGGTAGCAAAGCACAGCAGTTTCTGCTTCGCTGACTTTAAGGACATTGATGCCATTTTTCTGTCAGTTCCAATTTCCAGCTTTCTGGGGATTTTCTTTTTTCTTTTTTTTTTTTTTTTGACCTTCAAGATTTGCAATGTTTGAACAGTAAGGCAACAAGAGAGTTTATACGGTTTTCCTTGATAGTGGCTTTACTGTGCTGGAGGAGCATTCGTGTGTGTGTGACAAAATCCTCCCCCTGGAACCCACCAGCTCCTGGTAGGGCAGAGCAGAGGTTGCAGGTGAGCACAGAGCCAGAGCAGCATGCTGAGCACTGGTGAAGCCTGCTATTGATGGCTTTAGCCTTCAAAATCACATTACCCTGATAAAGTTAGCTGTCTCAGGGCTTGCCAGGCAGCACAAATCACATGAGCTGCCTTCTTTCTTGATGCCCAGCCTGTATTTCCCTTCCCTCACCATGGGGATTTTTCTTTCTTCTTTTAAAAAATACCTTATTTTAACAAAAGTGCATCACCTGCACAATAATCATAGAATCACAGAATGGTCTGGGTTGGAAGGGACCTTAAATATCATCTAGTTCCAATCCCCCTTGCCACTGGAAGGGACAACTCCTGCTAGACCGGGTTGCTCAATGCTCTAAAGAAATAAATAATAAACTCTAAAGAAATAAATAATAAGGTCTAAAGAAATAAATAAAGCAGATTCATCCTCTTCTAGCTTCCCTCTGGCTGGCGAGCCAATAATCCCCACCACTGCAGCCCCAGCTGGTGTGCTGGGCACAGCAAATAGCAGGTAGCAGGGCTGTGGAGTGGCAGCTGGAAGGGACCAGGCTGCTGGTGGGCTTGGCTCCCAAAA